TATAAATGTATGTATGTATGTATATATTGGGTACATGGTGCTACATTTTAACTTCGAGATCTATTTTGTAATGACTTTATATTTTTATATTTTCAAATAGAATGTTCAGCAACAATCAAACATTAATAAGGGCACAAAAAAACACTATCTTGTTACTAGGTGCAGTAGGCTTCACAGTAAGAATAAGAATGTATATTTATCAGAGTGAGTTTACATGTTGAGCTCAAAACAAGTTGAGACAAGCAGGGGAATGTTTTTGGCATCCTGACAGTCTAAATATGAGTTCTTCAGGTGTAATTGAATCCCTTATTTTACAACCTTATTATTGAAGACTACAAACAAATTGAGACATTTACCAACCTCTTCAGTACACTTTAATTTGTAATGATAATTGACTTAATTATATGTTTATACCACTCGTCCCTGAGGCCCTACTACTCTTCGCGGGTAATTTTGACATTGATAAATTAATATTAAAAATGCTTCAGAATTCTCCTGTTATTGAAATCCCACATTCCCCCTTCATGTAAGTCTTGCCTGTGCAACATTATGTCCTTTCTAAATCTGGAAAAACTTACATTTTCTGTAAGAGGTGGCTCTGATAGATTCTACTCTCACTGGCAACCACTGATTAGCTGCTTTGATCGGCTGCCTGTGAGTGAGATTGCACTATAGAGGTTGAATCATATGTGACAATTGTGCAGTAAGTTTGTGCCCTGCTGCCTGATCGTCACCCAATCATTCCCCTGGAAAATATTCATAGAAATATAGGTGTTTTATATATATGCTCTCGCATGTTCTGCACTCTGAATATCCTGGCTGCTGAACCCATATCCTAAGACTGGGAATTCTAAAGCACTGCAACAATGTTGGGAGGAAGCCTTTGGGGAGGAGGCAATGGGGTTATGGGTTTAAAATCATAATACAGAAAAGAAAACACTAAAAAATGCCTTCTGTAATTCTGTTCTGTTTGTGTACAGCATACTCCCATTTTGACTTATTTTTCGATAAAATGTTGATACCAAAAATGCTTCAGGTAGCATCTTAATGTGTATGTAACAAACACTGTTTGCACTAATGTCCGATTGTTGTCTGTAGGGACGTGAAAGCGGGAAACATCCTGCTGACAGAGCCCGGTCAGGTTAAACTGGGGGACTTTGGTTCTGCTTCGATCGTGGCTCCTGCCAACTCCTTCGTGGGGACTCCCTACTGGTAGGTGTTGTCTTTCTCTACACCAACTACATTTACTCATGAAGCAGACCTGTTGAAATTTTAGGATGTATAGACCATCATTTCTCCTCTTAGAAAAGTTTATCCTAACAAGTAATGCTCTTTGTGTGCTTAAAGATCCAGTGTGTAGGATTTAGTGGGACATATTTGCATAAAATTGTATATAAAATTCACAATTATGATTTCATTAGTGTATAATCAAGTGGAACTAAGTGTCCTGTTTTTGTAACCTAAGGACAGGTCCTCCTTTATGGAGTCCGCCATGTCCTTTCCACAGTAGCCCAGAACAGACAAACAACACACTGGTTCCAGAAAGGGCCATTCGCATTTTCGCTCTGGCCACCATAGTCCTCCTGCACGCTGGTCACATGGGAGAAGTTTCAGTTGGTTGCAATGTGCACCACTAGATGCCACTAAATCCCACACACTTGACCTTCAAATCCTACTTTTGTAGATGGATTATTGTGATACAAATCATGTGTCATGTCTAGCGTTGCAAAGGGTTGGTAAATTTTACTGAAATTTTCCAAGGGAAGTTAAGGATGTTTCAATATATATATATTAATTTTTTCTGCAGTTCAGGGTCAATAAAAAAGAAGGCAGATATGAAGTCACAGCACTATGAGATTCCTACATTTTCTGTATCAGAGATGTCAGCTGTGCATTGTGTTTTTCAGGATGGCTCCAGAAGTGATCTTGGCGATGGATGAGGGCCAGTATGACGGCAAGGTGGACGTCTGGTCACTGGGCATCACCTCGATAGAGCTGGGTAAACGCTGCAGTCTGACCCTTTTAGTCTTTTAGATGAGTATTTACATCCAGACAGTGAATTTATTCTGACAATGTGTTCTTTCCGCAGCGGAGAGGAAGCCCCCACTGTTTAATATGAATGCTATGAGTGCCTTATATCACATCGCTCAGAATGAAAGCCCCATTCTTCAGTCCAATCACTGGTGAGAATATTTGTGTGTCTCCTCTGTTTTTAGTTTGATTTCAACTCAAGATTAAGACTTAATTGTGAGAAAAAATTTGCATTTAATTATCAATTTATCTTGAGATAATAAGTTGTTTTGTAAATTATTTAATTATCTACCTGTTGCAAGTGATTATGATATGTAGGTCTCTTTTCTTTCTCTTCTGCAATTTCTGTTCCTTTCTCTATTGAGAGGAGTGACTCCATGAATTTGATAATGAGTTAGTTAATTTGTGACAGAGAGAAAACAATATTTGATAGCTTCTTTGGATGTAAAAAAAAAATTGTCATTGTCAGACAACCTAACAAATTTAAACGCTGCTGCTGCTCTTTGTTTTGACTCATTTCTTTTTCAGCTTTATGTGTTACAGTATTATTACTATTATTGAATAACATAAACCCTTGTTTCTCTGCAGGTCTGATTCCTTCCGAAACTTTGTTGACTCTTGCCTACAGAAGATTCCCCAGGACCGGCCTACCTCGGATGTGCTGCTGAATGTGAGAACTCATCTTATTATTATAAGTATCTCACCAAAACGAACACTCATAAACCTCCTCTGGAGTGTTGTTGTGCTCATCCATCATCTCCACCCTTCCTTCTGTAGCATCGGTTCTTGTGCCGTGAGCGTCCGCTGACGGTGATCATGGATCTGATCGCACGAACCAAGGATGCAGTGCGAGAGCTAGACAACCTGCAATACCGCAAGATGAAGAAGATCCTCTTCCAAGAGACGCAGCAGAACGGCCCAGTGTCTGAGGGAGGGGAGGATGAGGAGGTGAGGAGCAGGGACAGGGGGAGATGGAGATGAAGTCCTATGTATTGGCAAAGGGGGAAAGGGAGGAAGGGCATACTTTATGTATTTCTGTCTGTGGTGAATGAATATATGAAAACAATACACCACATCAAAAAAGACAAATTATGCATGCAGACAAAAATAAAAACCTGAAGACCTGTCTCCTTAAAAATATCTACAGTATATGGAGCTAAATCCAGTGTGTTTGTTTGTGTCAGGAGGTGGAGCAGTACCTGTTGCGAACAGGCACAGTTAACAGCATGGAGAGCTCCCAGTCAGTGCCCAGCATGTCCATCTCAGCCAGTTCTCAGAGCAGCTCGGTCAACAGTCTGGCAGACGCCTCTGATGACAGCAGCAGTGAGATGGCCATGATGCAGGAGGGCGAGCACACTGTCACCTCCAACAGCTCCATCATCCACCGACCCACGGTAAAGACCAAGAGGTTCACTTTGTGCTAAAAATGCGGAACTGGACCTGATCTGTGAAATAAAAATCCAATCATTCATCATGTTCCTCATTATCTAAAGAATTATGCTAAGTTTGGTACCTGTAAATTGTCAGTTGAGAAATTAAACATTTTTTACAGATTTGGGGGTGTAGATATGAACTGAGAAATTTGGTTTTGTTTTGTTTTTATGTGTGTGATAAAAAAAGTGTCTTACCCTTCTTCCTTATTTACTCACCCCCCTCCTTAGGGTCAGGATAACATCTATGATGACCCCTACCAGCCAGAGATGGACCAACCCCAGGCTCCCTCAGCCGGACGTCGTCGAGCCTACTACCGCAACCGTGACCACTTTGCTACCATCCGAACTGCTTCTTTGGTAAATTCAGAGAGCATATAAAGATTTGACTTTTGCACAGCGACATGTAAGATTTAGTCCCTTCACACTTCACACACATAGAACATAGATGCAAATATATAGTGCTATAGTGTTTCTTGCTAAATACACTTTTACCAAGCACACAGCAGTTACAGAGGAGGAAAATTGAATTCAGCCAGCCCAGTCTCCCCAATCTCACACCTGAATGAGCAGGGAAGAACTTATAATGTGCAGTTAATTACTGCAGCAATGGGCATGGACAGATAGTGGCACTTATATGTTGGTGTAAGACAGCTTTGTGTTCAGTAGTTTACGCATTCTGATTATTAATGTAATGTCTCAAAATCTCTCAATGCTTTGTCTTTGCCCTCCAAAAATGTCAGCTCCATTTTCAGTAAAGTCAGGGTTGTACAGATATCTTCTCTAGGTTAGATTGAGAGCTGCAAATGTCATATGGGACTTTGAGCTGCATTTCTTTTTCCAGTTTAAAGGGCTCTTCCCTGCTTTGTTCTGCAACTGCTGCATGACAGTTTCTCTTAGAATAGATACATTTCTGTCTTATATTCTCATTATCTGATAGTATAACAAAGGTTTTTTCAGTGGAAACTTTATTTAATACTAGAGATGAAATGCTTATTTGAGTAACAGATGTATTGGTGGACAAAACACTAACAGCCATTTTGATAATGGATTAATTGTTTTCATTTTCTTGTGCCAAATTCTTTTGTGAGAATGTGCTGCTTTTCTCTAATATATTTATATTCGGCACATATGAAGATGTAAAACTGGGCTTTAGGAAATTGTGATTTGCTTTTATATGTATTTTATTAGTTTACAAAAATTGCTAACAAAACAAACACGTTTTCTTGCATACAGTTTTCTCTACTGCTATCAGGCCATACAGGTCATTTCAGTCTTTTCCCAGGTTCTTAAGACCTGAAATTAATTTATTTGGTAAGGCAGAACATGGTTCTTAGTGAAAAAAATGGCAGTTAGGGATTTTAGCTGGAATTTTGCTGAAGAGGGTTTCATTATCTTCATCCTGAGCTTCACAAACAAAATTCCATTTGATGAAAAAACCTTCCTGAAGTCAGCCTTTATGGTCTGACATGATTCTGTTATACTTGAGTTTGGGTTTTGTTGTGGTGGCTGCAGAGGTCTCAAATAGTATGCAAATTAAACTGTGCTCGTGGCTCACTGAGTATGTTTTGTGATTTGGGTGACCCGACCCATGTCAAACAGGTCCACTTCACACTGCAGATGTAGCCAGATGCCTTTATGCCACATTTTGCGCACACTAGTGTATATGACAGCAGTTGTAGCAAGTTTTACATCAGTTTGCCAGGCCTCTGCTGGCCAGCTGAAATGAACGCCCACCTTCAAACATCAGCGTTGACCTGTTCACCTCTTCACCTCTTCCCCTCATCCAGGTAACCCGTCAGATTCAGGAACATGAGCAGGGCTCGGCACTGCGAGAGCAGATGTCTGGCTACAAACGTATGAGGCGGCAGCACCAGAAGCAGCTGATGGGGCTAGAGAACAAGCTGAAGGCGGAGATGGATGAACATCAGCTGAAGCTGGACAAAGAGCTGGAGAACCAGAGGAACAGCTTCTCCACTGAAGCAGACAAGCTGGCAAAGAAGCACCAGGCCATCCTAGAGAAAGAGGTGACATCAGGACTTCATGTATCAGTAGACTCAGTGTGATCACACCTTTATCCTGTTGACCTGAAATTTGATCATTTCATAATTGCTGCTATGTCTGAATTAGCACTGCTGTTTCTTTAAGCCAGCCTCTTACCCTCAGCCTCTGTTTGTGTTGTCTTGCAGACGAAAGCAGCTCTGACGGAAGAGAAGAAGTTCCAGCAGCACATACTGGGCCAGCAGAAGAAAGAATTGACCAGTTTACTGGAGTCACAGAAACGGCAGTACCGTCAGCGAAAGGATCAGTTGAAAGAGGTAAGAGCTAACGCATATTAAAACTAATGTTGACAATGGATGATATTCCCCAAACCAGAGAACATGCGTATTAGCACTTACACCCCATGTCCTCTAAATGTAGTTGTTGCCCTCCTCCAGCGGTCCAGATGTTCACTGGAAATATTTAAGACGCGATGTTGTTTGGAGTTGTTTAGCCATCCTTTTGTGTTTTAGTGTTAAAAACATGATTGCAGCTCTTTTAGATTAGTGCTACACGATTTTATAAAAATGTGCGATTGCGATTTGAGTGGACGATATCGCGATTTGCGATTGCGATTACAATATAATACATAAATGGTATCATGAGTCTTCTTGCTTGATTCAGTGTTTCCCCTACATTATATCAGGGCGCACTGACCTGACCTGACATAGTTATTGTTATGGACAGTGTAAATGACCATCAACAGACTGAGCACAGTCAAATACACCGCTCACACAGGAGCACAGCACGGCACTGTACACACAGCGGAGCGAACATATGTTGCGTTCAGGCGTTGTCACGTAAATGACTAATTCCAGCACGCCATAGCACAACACAGCAGCATGTCAAGTGGGCCGAACCTGAGCAAAGTTGCTCAGTTTTTAATTTGTTATTATATAGTTTGTTATGGAGTCTGTGATTTCCCCGTGACACTTACAAATGTTTGCGGAACTGTGCTTGGATGTTGTTTTATGAGGCTCTGGCGGCTTTCAGTTGTCTCATTGTCTTTAACGTTAGACGGCTCAGCTTTCTCTCGCATACACTCTTCCTACTTTTCTCTGTGCTGTCTCAAGTGCTGATATAGATTGGTCGTGTTGCCGCGGGATGTGGCAACTTCAACTTTTACACTTACACAGCACGTCTTTCTGTTCAACGTCACTGTACCTAAATCCAAAGTATCGCCATGTAACCGACGTTTTTTTCGCCACCAACTCAGCCTGTTCATGCTCATGCTCTTCTTCAGCGTCTGTGTTGGTCACTGCTGCACGCCGGCTGCACGCACCAGGATAGCTTGTGGGCGTGATGTCAACAAACTCCACACACTACAGGAGAGGTAGTCACGTTCACAGGCACGCACGTTAACATTTATTTACATTAAATTGCAAATCGCAGCCTTTTATGCAGTTATGTAATTGCACAGCCTGACATCGCGATTGCAATTGCAGTTAGATTAATCGTGCAGCACTAATTTAGATGCAGTAAACAGATACTTGACGATGGTTGCACACTGATCTTTATTTTGCATTTATATTTCCTGAGTAGTTTGGATTAGCAAAAGGAAAAAATATAACATTCCCTTCCCTGCTTAAAACAAAGTTTTAGTTTCATACTTTTGTATAATTTGTACTGTTTTAGTCTTATTTAAATATCTGGTTATACATTTTCTGTGTGTGTAGTGTGGAGGGGCTACAACTACATTTCATTGTGACAGTGTTGTAGAATGAAATTAAGCCTTGAAATGAAATCTATCATAACATATAAAGCTGCATTTACATACATTAACTTCAAATTCAGCCATGAAGGAGACACTTGGCTCACACATCTGTTAGTTTTAGGGGAAATAATCGATTCTTAGATGCATCACAACGCGGACGTGGACCATCGAGCATCGATTCACAAATGTCAGTTATCAGTTATCTCAGTGTTAACTTAATAACGTGATGTTGACGGAACAAGAGAGGGGGAACTCAACTGTGAGGGCAGTGCGGCACCCGGACGGTTTCAGCGCAGAACACGCTAGAGTTAACTTGTAATTTATCTTCACAAAGGGCATTGGTTGCAGGCTTGTTTTAAATTAATATCTAAATAATTACATTACATCGCATTATCATGGCCACATACTTTGGCACATAGAAACTAGAAAAGAATTTACCTCTTTTGAACATTGCTCTTGCCAAGTAAATCTTCATGGCAGGACAGTCAGCATTAGTTGATGTCCACATTGATCTATTTTTGTTCACTTTGGGCCCCCTCTTACTCTTCGACTTTTAACAGGAGCTGAATGAGAACCAGTCGACTCCGAAGCGGGAGAAGCAGGAGTGGTTGATCCGTCAGAAGGAGTGTCTGCAGCAGATGCAGGCGGAGGAGGAGGCTAGCCTGCTCCGGAGGCAGAGGCAGTACTATGAGCTGCAGTGTCGCCAGTATAAGAGGAAGATGCTGCTGGCTCGCCACAACCTGGAGCAGGACCTGCTCAGAGAGGTACGATGGTTAAAATCCCCCCAAAGCTATGCATAAAAAAAATGTGAAATAAATTGGAGATGCACAAATTGAGTGGTGCACTTGTCCTTTGTCAAACACTAAGTACTTCCACTTCAATAAACCCATTGCCTTTGACTGTCTCTGTGGTTGTTAATCTTATGTCTCTTGCATTTCCGCTCTCCCTCTGTTTCATCTTCCACCAGGACCTCAACAAGAAGCAGACCCAGAAGGATCTGGAGTGCGCCATGCTGCTGCGGCACCACGAGTCCACCCAGGAGCTGGAGTTCAGGCAGCTGGGCTCAGTGCAACGGACCCGGGCCGACCTGATCCGGACGCAACACCAGACTGAGCTCACAAACCAGATGGAGTACAACAAGCGTCGGGAGCAAGAACTTCGTCAGAAACACGCCATGGAGGTCCGGCAGCAGCCCAAGAGCCTCAAGGTATGTAGGAGACTTGTGAGGGGGGGTTCATGTCTCAGATTACTTAGGTGGTGGAAGAAGATCCTTTACTTAAGTAACAGTAGAAATACCATGGTCTTAAGATACCAAATATAGGGGTGTTACATTTGTTACGCAGATTTGCTGTCTTATAATCAGATGTCTCGAATTTGTTGTGGTTTTCACACTACATGACTGAGTGGTGACGGGGTCACACACTACAAGATTCTTCACCAGGAGGAATGAGTATGTCATGTGGTGCGTGGGTTGTTCCACAACCTGTGGGCAGGTCAAAAATGGACAAAGCCGTTATTAATAACTTTCGGTAACATTGCGGGCAATAGTCCACCTTTCACCTTCTCCCTCCCACTCTCAGTCTATTCTGAGAGAAATCTGTGGTGCACTGATAAACTTCTTGGCTCATGTCTTAAAACAGTTTACACACAGGACTTGAGCACCAATTTGCCTCTGATCTGGGAGCTTGTCAGGGAGCTTAAAAAAACTCAACAAGAGGAAAAGAGGACTAAAGACATATCTTGTGAAATAGGCATTGCATTGACAAATTTTCATAGACTTTTGCGGCACCGCGTCATGCAAATTTTTCACTCAAAATGAAGCATTTAAACTCTTATCTTTTAATGAAAAAAAATCAAAATATACTATAAAGAATAAAAATGAAAGCACAGTATAGTTTAGTAAAAGTTATATGCAGAATGACTCCTTTCATAGTGTTATGTTGTACTAGAATATTTTATTACTTATCTTTATCACTAGGTCTTGCATGTTAAAATATTTTAATGTTGCAGTTTCAATGTGGAGTCAATTTTAGATACTTTGTTCACTAGGGTTGATTAGTATTTAGAGGTAGAGGTATATTTCAAAGAATGGAAATACTCAAGTAAAGCACGTCCAAATAAAGTAAAATATATCAAATGTCATCTGATTGTTATCAAAACCATGTTTCAGTCCAAAGAGCTGCAGATCAAGCGTCAGTTCCAGGAGACGTGTAAGATCCAGACTCGTCAGTACAAAGCCCTGAGGAACCACCTGCTAGAGAGCACTCCCAAATCCGACCACAAGGCCGTCCTCAAACGCATCAAAGAGGAGCAAACACGTAAGCTGGCCATCCTGGCTGAGCAGTACGACCACTCCATCAACGACATGCTGTCCACACAGGCTGTGAGTAAGGCAAGGAAACCCCCGCGCACCTTGTACACCTGAAACTGCATCTGCACCTCAACACACCACACGTCATCCGTCAGTGCATCAGCATCACCTCAGCGTGTTCATCACAGTTTGAAAATAAAAGCAAAAGTACAAGCAGTGTTGTGGAAAATTTCATTTGTGTGAGCAGCACAAATCAGCAGGTCGACGAAGAAGATTTCTAAGAACAAATACCAACTATTATTTTTTTGGCACAGCTTGACAAAATTATTTAGTTATCATTTAAATATCTCTGTCCTACTTTGTAATGTGACTGCTGCACAGCAATTTGCTTAATAAAGTTACATCTTATCTTCTAATTATCTCCCAGCAAAATTGAAGTTATACAATGAAAATACTTTAGCTGAAACACTTTTTTGAATTTATCTACAGAAAATAAACAAGAATTTTTATCGTTGATTTTCTGTTTTAAATCATTCATCAAGTAAAATTTCCACCAATTGTCATGTTCCAGCTTCTTACATGTGAACATCAGGTTGAACAGATTTAGTTTTAGCCCAGTGTTTCACTGTTATTTATTTATAGTGGCAAAACATATTAATTAACATTTCTTTAAATGTAACAGTGAGCGAACAGTTCCTCAGTAAAACACTTAATTAATAAGATAATCTTGCTGTTAAATGAGGAAAGGAAGGAGAGATTGCTGCAAACACATCTGATCAAAAAAACAACAACACTATTTTCCTGCTGTTTTAACAACAGCTGTCAAATCATCACCTCAGTGCTCTGAGCAGATTGAGCTCTTCTGATACTGATGCTCATTCCTGTTTGTTCGTACAGCTGCGCCTAGATGAGACCCAGGAGGCAGAGTACCAGGTGTTGAGGATGCAGCTGCAGCAGGAGCTGGAGCTACTCAACGCCTACCAGAGCAAGATCAAGATCCACACAGACACTCAGCATGAGCGGGAGGTGAAGGACCTGGAGCAGAGGGTGTCCATCCGCCGGGCGCTACTGGAGCAAAGGGTATGAACACAATGTTACACTGTCTTCTTAAACACAGACAACACTATCCAAGCTTTTCAGTGTGTTTTATAATGCTCTACTGCTGGCCTGACACAACTACGTTGCCAACTAGAAAAGATGAGAGTAAGTTAATGTGTGCAGTTAGACCATATCCACACTTCAGCCCTGTTTCCATTACAGAAGCTTTTAATGACCTGTAACCTGAACTTTTAAGAACCAGGTTTTGCCTCGTGTTTCCACTGTGTGGTATCTGAAGGTTGAAGGTGAAAAGTGGGCAATAATCAATCAATCATGATTCCAGCTGTGATTGTCACGCTTGTTTGTTGTTGTGGTGACTCACAAATCGCTAACGGTCTAAACATCTGTTGTCAGATCGAGGAGGAGATGCTCTCCCTGCAGAATGAACGTTCGGAGCGAATCCGGACTTTGCTCGAGCGTCAGGCTCATGAGATCGAGGCCTTTGACTCAGAGAGCATGCGTCTTGGATTCAGCAACATGGCACTGAGCGGCATCCCGGCCGAGGCCTTCAACCAGGGCTACCCAACCCCCAGTCCCTCCTCGGGCTCCAGTGGGTGGCCCTCCCGCCCCGTCCCCCGCTCAGGGAGCCACTGGAGCCACAGCGTGCAGAACTCGGTGTCGACTCCATCCTGGCGCAGTCAGAACCACAGCGGGGGAAGCTTCAGCCGCGCAGAGTCCATCACCTCTTCCCATGGCCTCGGCAGGGACAGCGAGCTGCACAAGAGCAGCAGGGGCCACTCCTCCTCCTCCTCCTCCTCCTCCTCCCACTCATCCCACCATCATCACCAGCAGCACTACCTCCCTCAGCATTACCAGCACCATCAGAGCACGCCACAGCTCTACCGGGACAGCCACGACAGCAGGGAGCGCGAGCGGGCCAGGGAGTGGGTGGGAGGAGGGGGTCACTACCCCCATCACTCCCAGGTACACCACCACCACCTCTCCACCCACGCTTCCTCTCAGTCCTTGGCTCTCCTGCCTCCCCCACCACCACCTCCTCCCATCTCTCTCTCCTCCTCCTCTCCTCCCTCCTCAGCCTCTTCATCGTCATCGTCACAGGGAGGCTACGGAGGCGGGGGCCTGAGCATCAGGGGCCCCAGTTTGATGGCCCTCAGAAACAGCCCCCAGCCTCTAAGGAGGACGGCCTCTGGAGGGCCAGGGGGTGGCGGGGGGAGCGACGGAGGGCTCAGCCGGAGCACATCGGTCACTTCTCACATTTCTAACGGCTCTCACCTCTCTTACTCATGAAACTGCCCTATTTCTCCTCTCTGATCTGAGATCTGTCATTTTGCTTCTGTAAAGAAACCAACAGAAGTAGAACAAAACCTATCAGGGAGAGAGAGAGCGAATTTTAAGTTCTTAGCATATTTTAAGAGGTTTCATAGAGCCGGAGCAAAGTAAATCAGTCATAAAACAACAAAATCAAACAAACAAATAACCCCACTTTTAAGTGTAAATTTTAATATCTCCTTTCTCACAGTGTGTATAAATGTTCTTGATAGACAAGAAAAGAAAGAGAGGAAGCCCCTTTTTTTTTGAGTCACTACAGAGAAATACACGAGTATTAAGACCCAGAGCATCACTGTTAACCTCTTCCACACATTAAAGAGTTGCACAGGAACAGTGATGAAACTAAACGACGACATGTCCACATGTGAAAAATGAGCCATGTGCTGCAAAATGAGCAAGTCGAACTGTAAAATCTGACAAAAAACAAAATGACTTGAGTCCATTTGTTCAATTTGTGGCACATTGAATCTGTTGCACAGTAATGACAGTTTAATTGCAGGAGACTAGTGTCGCCTGTTGGACCAGTTTGAGATTCAGGTTTGAGACCTTCAGAGTCTGACAGCAGGTTTAAAGTTGAGCTGGCAGGCGGGTTTAAATTCTGGTTTTCAGCGACAGTTGTGGAGCTTCCACTCGGCTAGCGGTGCTTTAAAAACCACTGTAACTATGTAAATAACAGTAAATTGTAAACCCAGTTTTTTGATTTGTAAGTGTTTCATATGTTCAGCAGGGCGGGGGTCAACTAAGGGAAGATTTCTTGAAAACACATTTCTTTTATTTGTAGTGATAAATAAGATTCTGTATATGACAATTAAAGAAACACTGCCATCTCTTTGTTGGGCTGACCCAAGACAACTCTACCACTGCCCTTTAAGTCTTCTTAAAGAAACAGTCTGACATTTTTGAAGCAAGCTTGTTTGCTGTATCAATTGGGAGGCAGAGGACGAGATAATTAGATGTTAATCAGTTTAATCTCTGGGTGTTCAGTACAGACATTTAGCTTTAGCAGGAGGGAACTGTTAACCTCCCAACAACCTTAACACTCGCACATGTAGTCACAGTTAGATGCAGGAGGAAAGAATGAGATAGCACAGCTTTAAACATTGCATTTCAGAAGTCGGATCCTTTAAAGAAAAGTTGTTCACACTTTGCCAGCTCTGAATAAAACACAGGTTTTGGTGGGCAATAAATTCCTCTAATAAAAGTACATGTCATTTCATATTCTGATATTGATATGTCACCTGTCTACATTGTGACAAGTTCATTTATAAAGCACATTTAAGACACTAAGGCAATTGAGAGTGCTTTACATAAGGCATAAAAAACATCAATACAATATACAAATACACAGAAAACAGAAAATAAAACAATATACATCAGAAAGAAAGCAGGGGTGTCTAACAAATTTAATGCCTAACATCGATATACAAGTCAGCCTTTTTTGTTTCAAGGACCCTTATGTAGATCCACATTAGATCACAGACGTCCATGTGATAAGATTTTACTTTTTTAGATTTTAGCAATTTTAAACTGAAAACATTTTGCTTGTTTGATTTGATTAAGAACAGAATTCTGTAGTTGAACTACAATTGAGGAGAAAACCATTGAGGAAGTGAAACCTGTGATTGGCATAGTCACTTTTGCAGTGTTTCAAATTTGAACCTTTTTTGTATTTTTTGGGCATTTTTATGTCCTTTATCAGAAAGACAACAGGAGAGAGATGACAGAAACCGAGCTCCACTAGAATCCATGGTACACTGGATGTGATTAAACACTTTAATCATATAAATGGAAGTATTTTAAATGGTATTGCATACAGTTGGAATTATGGATGCCTTTTCCCCCAGGAGATCTGGTCACACCCTGTAGTTTATTGGTTATGTAACTATAAATATGCTAAAAAAGCATACTCTGTGAGCTTAGATATGCGTATTTATGTATGTATTTGTGTATATATCGAGTTTCCCTGATTTTAATACAAAAGGTTCAACTTAGATTGACTGGAGTAAAAGTAAGACAGCACTCAGACAACAGTAAAAATTCAGCACAATTGAATCTTTAAGGGTAAACACTGTAAAAACAGCTTATGTTATGAGAGCCATTTGAAATTGATAATCACATTTTTCAAAAACTAAATTGCATTTTAATTACAGTGTGCACAAAACGTGACAACTTGGAGACTAGTGAGGGTAGCAATGTTTAACAATTACAGAAACACACCTTTGTGTACACATAGTTCTGACCTAACATATTCAGAGATATTAAAGGAATAGACACTGTGGCATAAACAATATATTAAAAGATACCTGATGGTAAATTCATTGATGTGGACCCATGGTTCATATTGCCCACCAGGGATTTACTTGCTCACCAAGAATACGCAACGTTAAAACAAGATCATATTTTATTTTCCTTGTGCTTCCACATGTCTGTACTGAACTCGCAGAGAAGACAGAAACCAGTGATCTCATAGGACTCAAGTTATAACTCGAGCAAAATGTCCCAAAAAGTCAGATTGCTCCTTTAAAGGGACGCTGCCAGAGTATTTTTGAGTGAGCCGAGTGCTAAATCTGTGTGCGATCTTTGCTGAAAGAGTGTGTGTGCGCGTGTGCGTGTGCTGACAGCTTACCTACACCTCCACCTGTCGTTCTCCTCTTCACAGTCTGGTCTGCATCTGTAGATAAGATGTACATGTTACATTACAAATTAGTACAATTCAGTGCATGGAACTTGTGTACAGACAGCATTTGTATGGATAACATGCACACTACCTATTTATATAAATGCATATAAATGTAAGATACCTGTAAATGTAGCAGGTATACTGAAGATTGTTCACTGTCCAAACACTTTGACTTGCATTGTACTTACCAGTGTACATAAAGCACTAACTGAGACTGTGTTAGAGTAATAATAATGATTCTTGATGTTGTACTAGATGCAGACAAATAGACGCTATCATTATTATTACCTCTACTGCAGCTGTAATATTTATGTTGTATGCTAATTTTTAAAAATGTAATTGCCAATTTTGACCACTAGGTGGGGGAATAAGCGCAATGTTACTGTGATAGAGCTATAAAAAGAAAAAAAAATATTAATGTTTCTTAGGAGGACAAAAGGACTACCTTTCCCAGCATTCCTGTGGAGGTCTCAGGGTGGGAGTCTACAGTTCTGGGGAGGGCTACTTTTGACTTTTTACTTTTTATTTTGAGCCAGTATTACCAGGTGGAGCGTTCAATGGTGGAGCTGAATAATAGTAATAATTTCTTTCATGACGTTTGGTGCCATGTTTTTATTTTTATTTTATATTTTGCACCCTGAAGTCTTTGTGCAAAGGACTTTTCCCCAAAAAACACTGTAACCTGCAAAAAAACAGACCCCAGAAGTGTTCAATGTTAGATCATTCAAACAGAGGATATAAATAGCAATATGGATTAAAAAAATACATATATGAACATACATTTGATCATTTTGACAATAACAGTGTTTTTGGATATCGTATTTATTTCACTATAGACATTTTGAGCTATTTCAATTCTGTTTTTCTCAGTGACATGTTATTTCATGCCACTTTATTCCAAAATTTCTTTTTCTTATTTATACTCACTGTGGTGAGTTCCAAAAAGGCATTTTGAAATAATATTTTCTTACATTTGGTCTAAAACTCTAGAAATAAGTGATCGAATAACATTTACCAAAATTTGCTTGAGTTTTAATAATTTCTTAACTAATTTCATATATTTCTGTTAGTTTACACAGGTTACCAAATTGATTTATTGATTTGACATTGAACACTTTGTGGGGCTTTTATAGCAGAACGTTTCCAGATAAACAGCTCATCATTTGATTTTGCACAGTGTGAATGGGTAGAAAAAATCATCTGGTCACTTCCTGCAGCGTCGGTGTCCCGACTGGTGGAAAATAAATCAGCTGATTTCCTGCCAACGCGTCACATGGCCCTCCATCACTGCTGCAGGAGGCTGACCTCAGTGTGATCTGATGCTGTCTGTAGTTGTCACGTCTACCTCATTTGCACTGATAGTAAAAGAATGTTTGGGTGAATTTAAAATAATGCATATTTCTGGTATGCAGACTTTGGATTTTGCTTCAGTATTTTTAGTTTATTTCCCGTCTTTGTGCAAATGTTTGACAGGAGATGCAGATTGAGATCAGGAGGGGACAGAAAACGCATCAGAGTGGAAGCTGGAATTTTTTTTTTTTTTTGTTTATGTCATCTTTACAGGACATGCTGGACTTTAATCCCATGTGGAGACACTAGAGACATTCAGGTGGTGAAAACAAGTCACCCAACATGTTGTATTGATCTGTGCTGATGGAGATGATTGGCAGGAACCTGCTGGCCGCAGGCCAATCAACTTCTCTATCAAAAACCTCTAGAAAATGTTTGTGAGATTTCATTTTGCCAACTTTTTTTTAAATGCATTATTTTGTAAAGAGTTTTAGTGCTGATCATTCCGAGGTTGTGTTATTTCTTATTTTTTGCCAATCAAAGCTGCACTCAGTACCTCCAGCCAAGAGAAAAGTAGAAGTAGATTTATCCAGTTTGTATTGTTGGAGTCACCTACAGCTGTGAGTTCAACACATCAGTTTACTGACATCAGGATTTCTGTGTTTTCATATCCTAAAAATTAAAGGAACATTTTGGGAAGTTTTCATGTTTGCTGTCAGATGAGAAGATGTTTCAGTCTAAAGCAGCAACTAATAATTATTTTAATTATCCATTAATATGCTGATTATTTTCTCAATAATTTGATAATATATTTGGTTAATGGAAGGTCTGAAAAAAAGTGAAAAATGCCTGTTGATTCTTTAGTTGTTAGCAACTCTGCAACACATGAAAATATTCTTTTTTGAACTGAAAGGATTAGTCAATTAATGGATTAAGTAGCCGACAGAAAATTAGTTGGTGACTGTTCACATTTTTAATTGACTTAATCGACTGACTGTGTGGCTTATAAAATGGTCTTCAGATGTCTTGTTATTTCTGACCAACAGTCCAGCCACATTTAGTTTACCGTCAGATAAACCGGAGAAAAACTACAAATTATTTTACAAGAAGCTGGAAATTTACTTAACCTTTTTTTTTATTATAAATTGATTATCGATTAAACTGTCAGTTGAATTCAGCTGTTTATCAGTTAATTATTTCAGCTCTAATTTAGTTGCCATTGTTGTTTTGTCAGATGAAGTCATTTGGTGTTGCAGCTAGGAGCGTAAACTGTACCTAGTGGTGCGTTCAAGGGCAGAAGATGTGAACAAAAAGATGTGAATTTACCTCTTTTAAAATGTAGTGAAAATGCTGCTTGTTTCAGTCTGTCTATGACTCAACAGCAAACAAGCAGATTTCCCAAAATGCTGTGCTGTTATTCCTTTAATTACTAGTTCCTTGTTTTAATGTGGGTCCATATGTTTTCTAGTGCAGTTTTACATGTTTCTGTGGGACAAACCCACCTTGTTCACTGTTTCTGCCTCAGCCTCTAAAGGCAAGAAACAACTTCTCTTTCCCCCAAACACGCCCCGACTGTTGTGGCCAGCAGGTTAATACACTGACGAGAAAGATGATGATGATGATGATAATGATGATGATAATGATAATGAGAGTCTGTGTAGAGCAGGATGGATGTGTGATGGATGGAGTTAAAACAGTTTTTACAGCAGGAGGCCGAGTTTAAAATGTTCAGGTTCAAAATGTTTGGAGGAGAGTTGAGAAATAAGTTGTACAGAAACGTAACAAAATAATTTTGGAGAAATAAATGAACAAAAATAGACGATGTGTTTGTTGTCATTGCTTTCATGTTGTGTTTTGAGTGGTTCAGGTGTTAACTGGTGCTTAAAAAGTGAGAAGACATGTCTGTCTGAGTGTTTACAGGAGAACTCTTAACCTTATTTTGAGTGCTTGTTCAGGTCTCAACATTTTCAAGGACACCAAACATGTCAATATGAATTTATTTTCCCCAACTGAGGACAACACACATTATTTTCCACTTGAAAACACTGAATGATATGAACTTATCCTGAGATGTTTACATCATATGTACATTTTTCCTAAATTGGTGATAACTAAATTCATATGGAGCCCGAAATCTGATCAATTTTAGTAAAAGGTTAAAAGATAGATACAAAGATAGATATATAGCCTATGGTTTGTTGAGTTTAAGTGTACAAAACGTCTATAAAGACCTTTTTTTCATATGTCATAAATAAATAAGTACATACTATGAGGTGTTTTTTATTTTTTATCATGAACTAGTTTTCGCCTTTTTTTTCTTGTCTTGGAGGAAACAGACTCCCGCTGAACTTCAGGCAGACGTAATTAAAGGGGAGGCGCGCGAGGTGCACGCTGCGTCACATGACGTCACGACCCAACCAACGGGATTCGCGCTGAGACCGGAATGTTGGGTATTTTCTTTTAAAATAAAAGCACAACTTGAGGTAGGCTATTTCTCTCAGCCATGTCTGAAAATAAATGTGGAGAAAGTATTAAAATCTTTAACAAAAGTAAAAGTAGCCTACTAATACAGCACTGTAAAAATACTCTGTTAGAAGTCCTGCATTGAATATGCTATTTAAGTCAAATATGTAAGTATAATCAGGTAAATGTAGGCTACCTAAAGTATTAAAAAATGTTCCCTGTGACTGTTGTAGCATTATTATTACATCGTTAGATAATTATCATACATTAATGTAAAAGCAGCATTTTACTGGTTGAGGTAAGCTCATTTTGAACCATTAACTACTGATTATTATCTTGTTGGATTAATTTGCTGATTATTTTTCTGTTAATCAATTGATTGTAAGATTTGTGACATCACAAAAATACCCAGAGGCTTGAGGGGCACCTTCACAACGTTTGTTTGTCCAATCAACAGTCCAAACCTCAACATTATTAATAATACATTACAATAATTAAAATTACTAAAAGGAAAAGCAGCGAATCTTCACATATGTGAAGCTGAAACCATAAAATGTTAGACATAAAAAATGACTTCAACCATTAAAATAATTTCTATTTTATTTTCAGTTGTTCGACTGATTGATAATATTTGTGTAACATTTTCGTTTGTAAAGTAACTAAAGCTGCCAGATAAAAAATATTGCAATGAAAGTACTATATTTACCTCTGAGATGAGTTTGAAGTAGAAGTAACATGAAATGAAAAGATTCTCTGTACAATGATGAGTTAAAGTACTTAGTTACATTCCACCACTGAAAGTACAGTAGACAATAGCTGTGACACCTGATGTTTTAAACAGTTTTATATTGACACTGAGTTTAACTGTATGCTTAGAATAAAATAACTGCTAGGCTCTTATTTTATTTTCAACAAACGTTTATATTTAGAAGCTCATTATTCATGCTTAAAAAATGACATATATTAGCTGACAATCAAAACAGGTCCACCTCATCAACTAATGATTAACTGACTGACTTTCCAGCTCTAAAATAACATAACTCTTTCTTTATCCCCAGAGGGAAAATTCAGGTGTTATTTGCAGCACAAAGACAGAAATGAGTACAGATTAATAGAGAAAGTAAAAAAAAAAAAAGAAATAAAATAAGAGGTATACAACTAGTATAAGAGTAAAAGTAAAAATAGGAACTATAGCTACAAGAGCAATGAAAGACAAATTGATGAGGTGAGGCGGCAAGTTACAAGTTAAAGTGTAAACTGCGCAAAGCACAATCATATGTATCTTACTGTGATTAAGTAATGATACATAGTGTTGTCTGTAATAATATAGCAAAACAGAAACATAATACAGTAGCTATAGGATGAGGTAAGACAATATAACATAATAACACAATATAGTATGATATAGTGCTGTATTGTATATTATGAAGTATACGATATAGTGTAAGGTGTACTTTAATAATAGTAAAAATAATATGTTAATATGATTTAGCAATATATTCTAATATAACATGATATAGGCCTATGGTTAGTTACTGTACAGTATAATATGTAGTCTACATATACTATATATTATATATATTATTATTAAGAAAAATACATTGTGAGGGGGGTTATAAACAACAGTAATCATCACAGCGGCGTTTTGTTTTTATTATACCTCACATATTTTAATTTGAGGTTTGAGGTCTAAAATCTCCAACGCCATTTTAAGACTTTTATTTAGAAAATTAACCGGAAGTTGTGATATGGTCTGATACTTGACATTTAGCATCGCTGAGGAAGTCACCGCTCAACATACATTCAACTGTCGCTCTTTGAGTGAGTTTCTCTGTAAGATACGAGTTAAAACACGAAGCTAACAGAAACAAAAAGACGACAGCAAACCACCCGAACATCGAAGATGACGCAGGAAAATATTTTTGTCTTCGTTCCCAATTTAATTGGTGAGTTTCTATCGTGTTTTCCATCATGTAGCTAGCTGAGAGTTAGCCAACATACAGGATGGATGCTGCTGTGAGACGAAAAAAAGTGCCGATACAACATAATGTTATCTATCTACTGATATATCTGGATTATTTAATGTTCTAACGTTATCTCCCCCCCTAGTTTTTGCCACGTATATTGTGAAATTCAAAGCACTTACAGCTCATCAGGCCTCTAACGTTAATTGTCTGACAATGAGAAATCCCACTTCGATTAAACTCAAGTTCAAAAACTGTGATTAGGTGTCACATGTAGACTTCGATTTATTTTCAGAGGCTCATAAACGAACTAATAATTCTAAATCTTCATAAAAGTATAGAAGCACTTACTGTAACTGATAAAGATATACCGATTAATAAACGTACTCAATGTAATTAATGTCTGATTGACTTTATGTATGCACGTCTCAAGACAAAAGAGATACCAGTGTGTAAAAACTCAGCTGCAAGTAAAATCCCTTTATTCAAAAAATGACTTGAGTAAAAGTACATAAGTATTAGCATGAAATTAAACTTAAAGTATTTTATAATTTCATTTTAGTATTGATGCATTGATCATCAGTGTTCATCACTTTACTGTTGCAGCTGCTAAAGGTAGAGAGAACATTTTTGTTTTAACCTACTTTATACTGTGTGGTAGGTTAACTATAATAATGCATCATCATTTATTAGGTTATTATATTTTGTATTGACAATCTAAATCTGCAGAGGAACTTAAGTTTTAAAATGCAGTAGAAAGTACAATATTTCCCTCTAAGATATTGTGAAGTAGAACTAGAAAATGAAAATAGCCAAGTATAGTAGGACTACCTCAAAATTGTTAATTGCACAGTACCAGTCAGGCCAGCAAACGAGGTTAAGCTTAATGTTTCTGGACAAGAGAAACTTGTCCACATTTCTCCACATGTAGCTTGTTCTTTTTACCTGCAGGTTACGGCCGCATTGTGTTGGCTCTGGTTTCCTTCTACCTGATGCCCTGCTGTCCGTGGCCCGCGGTCTTCTGCTACCTGCTCAGTGCTCTGCTTGATGCTTTTGATGGCCACGCTGCACGGGCACTCAATCAGTGTACGTATTTGTGAGGATCATTATTTTCCACTGGGAATGGAGTGATGAACATGTACCTCTCAGCCTTGGAAGGCCTTGAGGGAATTAACTCAAAATTGGTACAAACGTTTATTTGGACTCAAGGATGAACTGATTTTGGTGGTGGGAATTCAAAGTCACCATGACCTTGTGTGCGTCTCATTCTCATAAATGCAATATCACAAGAAGTCCTTGAGGGAATTTCCTCAAATTTGGCACAAAAACCTACAGTACTTGGACTCAACAATGAACTGATTAGAATTTGGTGGTCAAAAGTCAAGGTCACTGTGACCTCACAGAACACATTTTTGGCCGTGAATTCATATGCTAAATATGACGAAATTTCACAACGTTACCTAGTGGGATAAAATGATGAAGTGATGACATTATAGATCCAAAAGGTCAAAGGTCAGCTTCACATTCCAGCATTCTTCAAGATCATATCTCAGGAACTGAAGGGGCCAGGTATGTGTACAGATACAAGGAATCTGACTCCAGTTTTAAGTTGCTCCTAATGCACTTACGCACAGAACAGGTTTGCCATTTTTTTTTAAATTAAAAAAATCATTTAATGTACATTTTTATACACAGTCAATATTCTCCTTAATGTTTTAATAATTGTGTCCGCTCCACTTCTTAAACCAAACCTACATCTTTGTATATCTGTGTTAGGCTGAAAGACAAGTCTTTATTTACCAGAGAAAAATATAAAAAAGTTTCAGCATCTTCAGTTTAACATTCACCACTAAAGTCTCAACCCCAGCTAGGAATAAACAGATGAGGTTTTTCATATTCTCCTGACTTTCTATATTTACTGATGCTTTCTTTCAGCCACTAAGTTTGGAGCCATGATGGACATGCTGACTGACCGCTGTGCCACCATGTGTCTGCTGGTGAATCTGTCCCTGCTCTACCCCTCCTACACTTTCCTGTTCCAGATCAGCATGTGTGTGGACATAGCCAGCCACTGGCTGCACCTGCACAGGTACACTATTATCAAGACAAGTCTCTGTCCTCACATGGATTTAACCCTCAGGGTGACTGTTGCTTGCAGAATAGATTCTCTGCCATGTGGATGAGGAACAAGATGATATTAATGCTGATTAAACATTACATTAGTCTGTGGGCTGGAACATTAACTGTTCAGTGTTCAGCTGTAGACAGTGTTCTGAGGTAACGCCAGAACCTGTTTAACCTGCACAGCTGGTGCCACTGGAAGTCGAGTCACAAGTGTCGACCTGAGCAGTCTTTGTGTCAGGCTTTTTTGAATCTTTATCTGGGATTAAAAAACAGAGCAAATTCAATTTATTTTGTGCACGAGGTTTAAATCATTTATCATCATCATCAATTTTATTTATAAAGCCCAATATCACAAATCACAATTTGCCTCAGAGGGCTTTACAGCATATCACATGCCTCTGTCTTTAGGACCCTTGCAGCGGTTTGACTATCGTCAGTATACGGTAGGGCTGAACGATATATCGTTATCGAATCTATACCGAGATATGAACATGCAAGATATTAATATCCCAAAAGGCAACGATATTGACGATATAATTTCCCCATGAGTTTCCCCAGCTTGACCTGTATGTACAGCTCAGCTAATCACAAACATCCTTTTTACGCTTGCCCTAAATGTACAGCTACGGCCAGCCAATCACAAACCTCATTTCCTGCTTGCCTTGGATCGACAACAAAGCCAGCCAATCACAAACATCCCCTTGAGCGAACGAGACGTGCTGCTGCTAGCAACTTGCTAGTACACACAACACATTTGCGACTAAAAATAGTTTTGTTTGAGCAAATTAAATCATTCAGCACGCTGTGTGAGTACAGATTTCAACCAGCAGCAGACACGAAAGGCGAAACTTACAGGTTGTGGGTTGAACGGGGGTCACAGAC